CAACTTGTCTGTTCCCCTTCCCCCAATTCCCCAGTACTGTTCCCGTCCCCCCAATTCCCCAATAAAAATCTTTAAAAAACAAAACAAAACAAAAAATAACTGGATTATGTTGATATTTGCACGATTCTTTAAGACCAGTGTGTTCAAGTGCCATCAGTGAAGAGGAGGGCACAGCAGGTGAGGAGCCTGGAGTGGCAGGTGGAGGCCACCTTGAGAGTTTTTGGTCTTTATTTTAGAAGCAGTGTGAAGCCTTTGAAAGAGTAAAATCGGACAAGATTGAGTATGCCTCCCTTCCCTGGGCTAGGTTGTTCTTGGATTCATTTGCTTGGACATAGAAAGGGAGATAGCAGAGCCCCCACCTTAAAGAATTTCACTTTCCTTGTGTTGACTTATCATCTGCATTTTCAAACCATGCTCGAAAGTGGAATTCTTCGCAAGATTTTAACAGTTTCTGATTCATAAGCTGGCATGGCTCTCTTGGTGGTAGGAGGGAACCTGAGGATTTTTCCTGCATTTACAGTGACAATTTTATGACTGCTTCAGCCAAGTGAGGTAAAAATTGAAGGCTTGTGGTAGCATCCAGTCATAACTTTCTCCTATCTTAATTTTGGGCACCTTTTCCTTTATTGATTTTGTTCCTTCTTGATTTTGTAAAAGTCACATTTCAAAAGAGTTAGGACGTGGAATTTCTGAACAAAGAACCTTAAGTAGTAATTTTGCAGCAATTTGTATCTTCCCTCAGTGAAGCTAGGAAGGGATTTAAAGAACTTTAGGGCTGGCCAAGAGTGGTTCATTTGGTTAAGTGTTGGCTTAAGAGCACGAGCTCTGAGCAACAGGGCCGCTGGTTCGATTCCCACATGGGCCAATGACGCTGTGCCCAAGCTGAGCTGTCACTGAGCTGCCCTGTTGGCAGGATGGCTCAACTGGTGTAACAACAAAATTGCCTGTTCTAGATGGTGGGCTACGCCCACCCACAACTAAGATTGAACACAGCACCTTGAGCTTAGAGGCCATGAGCTGCCTACGGGAAGCCAGATGGTGACAGATGCCCTCCACAATGAAGATTGAAGAACAGCAACTTGGCTGGTCCCCCTCCCCCAATTCCCCAATAAAATCTTTTGTTTAAAAAAAAGAACTTGAAAGCACCCACTGGAAAGTAGGCAATTTTTCCTTCTTATGGTAAGCAATACGATTGACCCAAAAAGCTTACCCTGGGTGCTATGTAGAATGGTTTGGAGGCCTAGGTTTCCAGATGGAGGTGGTACTATTCGTTGAGCACAGAGAATACTGGAAAAGATCCAAGCTTGAAGGAAATGATAGGTAAATTTTGAACATGTTTAATTTGAATTGCCTGTTAGATATACAAGTGGACATGTTAGGTAGACAGCCAGTTAGATATACAGTTCTCCAGCTCAGAGGCAAGATTTGATTTATGGATATTAGAATCTTTTACATATTAGAATTGATTGCAGCCTTAGATATATAATAGTAATAAAGATATTTGAGAGCGAGACAGAGGAAGAGATTAGATTATAAACTAACAATAAGATTCTGGGTATCTGTTGGGATTTAACCAAACTAAAATGCTAATAGACTTAATTGAATTAAAATGCTGATGGACTTAAGTCATCTGATATTCTTTTTTTTTTATTCCTCAAACACATAAAATGAGAGATTGAGTAGGCATATTTTTATGTCTTTCAGAATAAAATTTAAAAGAAATAAGATCATCATGATCCAATGAAGAATATGAAGTTAATAAGATAAAACTAATAAACATATACTTCTGAAATCTGTATTTTAAGAAAATGATTATACTTTTTCCCATGTGAAGATGGTCTGTATAAAACCTTAGGCAACAGGCAAAATTTCCAAATAGTATTACTTTCTAACGTTTTACAGTATTATTAGAACATATTTCATGTTACATGTTTCGCATTGAATCCATATCCATGTGAATGTGTGTATTTATTGACTTATTTATTTATTCATTTAAACAGCTCAGAAACTATTGCCAGATGCTGGTATATCCTGCTTTCTGGATCTGTGCTTATGAAAGACTCCATGGTCTTGCCTCCTTGCAGGTACGTTTACATTTGCTGCTTTGTGCACGTGGCAGGCAAAGTTAACATATCTGTTTTATCTCCTGTGTTAGACTATTTTATGTAGGATGCGTATTTTCTCTCAGGTGATACATTTTGTAAATGTTGTTGGTAGTTGGAAATACTACTTGGCAGGAATCAGCTGATATTTCCTATTTCTGAGGGTGTAATCTTTAAGTTTATACCATGACATAGTATCTTACTCCTGTTTGATCTTCAGTTCTGATTTATCTGATGATTTTTGGATTCATTGCTATTAATGGTTATAGAGAGGCAATATATCTTAATGGTTAAGAAATTGGTTTTTAGAGAAAAGAAAACTATGTTAGAATCCTGATTTTTTCACTTATTAGTTATATGACTGGACAAATTTTAGTTTCTTGACTGTAAAATGAGAATAATAGTATACACTTAAGTATCTTTATGAGCTTTTGGCAAGCTACTACTCAAAGCTCTCAACAGAAGTCTGTAAATGTTGACACTCTAGTGCCAGACGGCATGAGTTCATGTCTGTGCTCTACTGCTTCTGGGGCACATTACTTAATCCCTTTGTGCCCGTTTCCCCATGTAAAATGGGAACAATGATAGAACCTATTTCATAGGCTGTTTGGAGGAATAAATGAGTTAATATATAATAAAGCTCTTGGAATGGTGCCTATTATAAATAATTATTATCACCACCATAATTATAATGTAAGAGAAGAGAACACTGAAAAGATGGTCAAATGTATTCTTGGAGAATTTGTTCTGTCAGCAATTCTTAGTATTTTTGGCCCTCAAATTATAATTTGGTAACATAAAAATGGAATTTTTTAGTGACTTTTTTCCATGCTGAGAAGAGATGTTTGGTCCTTTAAGATTTCTAATTGCAGCTAAATTAATTTAGTTGCAAAACTATTTAAGTATCAAAGTATAGCCTACTCGATGGATGGTATGGGATGTCTTAATTTTGATGCCATTTTTAAAGTCGTGTCTTGAGTCCTGAAACACTTTATCATTGGCCTTTGGTTAAATGAAATCTGTGCTTGTTGACTAGTAGAATAAAACATTGTTGACTATTTTCACAAACAAAGTGCATAGTAGTTCTTGGTTATGTAAGGAATGGTGCCATATCAGAGACTCAGCGTTGGTCTCTGCTGTTAAGTACCCAGCAGCAGTATTAGCATTGAGCCCCTGCATAGCTCCTTCTGTGCTACTGTGGCCACTTCATTCGTGGGCCCATTGAACAAGCACTGGGTGGCTGGGGAAAGAGTTTGATTGACACTCATAGAGCAGGTCATTTTATTTACCTGATTATTAAAAGCCTCCTGTCAGTGGATACCATATGGATGTTCATATGGGCATTCACGTGAGACGCAGGTATATTCAAAGTTGTGCCCATTCCAAAAGAATTCCTTCCACATACTTCTTCCCAACTTCTTCGTTGCCAGTCTTCTAAACCTGTTCCTTCTAAGTCCCTGACCATTTGACCAAACCATTAGTAACTGCCCACGAATCTGTTTAGACTGATAATTTTGGCCATCTCTCAATCCAGACTAAATGGACAGCCAAAAGTACTGCTTAAAGTTCTGTTACCTGGGAGGATTTGCCTTCACCACCTTACTTCAGGGTCACCTCCGAATGGAGCTGTCAACTTTTGAGTGGTATCACATGTTGTGCAGACTCATCTGTAAAACAGGCTCAAGTTTTTTCTTCCCCATCAGCTGGTCATAAGGAACTTCCCAGGTGGGCACAGGCACAGACTGAGGGAGAGGAGGCAATGCAGCAAGAGTTGGTGTTGCAGGGGTCTGAGTCCCCTGTTTACACAGCTTACTCTGGACCTGCGTCTCTAGTATGCCACATTTACTTGATAATAGATTGCTGCTGCTTGTGCCCAACCCTTACGGCTGGGTACAAAGTTCATGATGGGAAGTTCAGGCCACATAGTCACCTGATGCCCCAAGGTTAGGCATTCAGCCTCTACCAAGCCCAGTAGCAAGCTAGAAGTTGTGTCTCAAAAGTAGATTATAGTAAGTCCTCACTTAACATCATCGGTAGGTTCTTGGAAACTGACTTTTCAGTGAAAGGACTTGTAACAAAACCGGTTTTATCACAGGCATTGATGTAAACAAGATTTAAGTTCGTATGGCATAATTCTGGTCCCAGAAACAGCACCAAACTTCTAAATAAAGACCCAAAACACTTCTAATATTAAATATTGAAGTAATGTGAGCTATACATACATCTAAGAACAATTAATAAAGACAAGTAAGATAATTATTTTCCAACCTGCTTCTTCCAGTTCAGGGTCACGGGTGGCCAGAGCCTGTCCTAGCAGCTCAGGGTGCAAGGCGGGACTGCCCCCTGGACAGGACACCCTTCCATCACAGTGTGCACCCACATTCACACACACATTCACTCAGACTGGGACAGTGTCGACATGCCAATTAACCTCACGTTCACATCTTTAGGATGTGGGCGGAAACTGGAGGACCTGGAAAAAATGCACACAGACATGGGAAGAATGTGCAAATTCCACACAGACAAGTGGTCCCAGCCGGGAATTGTTTTTTTCCCTCATCAACATGATAACGAAATGATGTTGAATGAAATGATGCTAGTCATTGAGGACCTACTATAGTTATTTTTAGAAGAGGGCCTAGAGGTCTGCACTGTCATTGTCATGTTCGTGTTTGTGAGAAGCTCCATAGAGCATCCCTGTTCGCTGTGGACACTGAGGTTACCATTGGATGTATTGGAACGTAGAGCCAAGTGGTCTGGTGACTTAACTGCATCCTGACCTTGCTGGAAGCCTTGTGGGGGACACTGAAGATGGGTCAAAGTAGCTCACAAATATATGTTACCTCCAAAATCCAAAAACACCCCAAGTATTGTGCCTCTCTTTTTGTGGCAATGGTGCCTAATCAACTTGTATTTCACCTTGGAGTGGATATCCTGTCATGCCCCAAATTATGGAACTCCCAGAAACTTCACTGAGGCGGAAGGCCCTTGAATTTTTACACAAACTAAACTGTAGTTTGCATGTATTTTAATAAAGCATCTAAACACACCCTCTTATTTTATAATGAAATTTTACATGTAATTTAAACCAGTAATATATAACAATTTACTATAAACAAAGGAGATACGTTATAAGTCCAAAATTTAAATGGATTTGTTTTGAAATGAATTTAGCCTTTTTCCAGAATTGAGGTCACTTTAATTGTCTCAGTAAAATCTCACTGTAGCTCAAGAAAAGCAAGGACTCCATTATATGTGATTTTGAAATAAAATTTAGTGCATGTATTCATTTATTTATGCAGGAAATAAGCATTGATTGTCATCTCTAAGGCACAGGCATTAAGACAAAAAAAAGACTGACTTACCCTGGATTGAGACGACTGCTTTGTTTAAAAAGGGCTTAAGTGTTGTGTGACATAGAAAGAAATCTTTCTCGGGGAGGTGGTTTTGGAATGAATTCTACAGATCAGCAGGATTAGCTAGGCCAAGAAGCAGGGAACAGGCATTTCAGTCAGAGAATGGACTCGCTTAGAAAGCATTTATTGAGCGCTGTCATGTGTCAGGCTCTCTGCTAGTCATTGGGGTGGGAAAGGTGTTCACCTTTAAACAGCGTTGTCCATTTTCTAAAGACATAATTTTTAAAATAGTTTTTTTGGACTGAGTAATAAATTTGTACTATTAAAAAGGCAAAACAGTATAACAAGTTGTACTTTAAGAAGTATTATTCACATTTTTATTGTCATCCACACCACTCAACCCATTTGCATAGATAACCATTTTTATTATTAGCTTACATTTCTTGTGTTTGATACATATGTGAGCAAAAGCAAATACATAACCTTGTTTTTCCTATTTCTGACCCAAATAGGAACATTGCTCTGTTTTTTACTCTATTATTGTGAATTATGTCGGGAAAGTGCGGATAACCTAAATGTACACATTAAAGAATTAATATAAATTGAACATTTGCCTAATCACTACCCAGATCAAGAATTTGAACGTTGTCAGCACCCTAGAAGCAGCTTGCATGTCTTTTCTCAAATCAACATCATACTTCCTCCAGAAGGTCATCATTTTACTAAATTTTAATCAGTCTTGGATATCTGTAGAGTTTTAGCCTGAAGATGTGCACACTTAAACATTGTAGTTTGTGGTTTTCTTTACTTTTGACTGTAATACGAATGTAATCATACAGTATTCTTTTGTGTATGATTTATGGCTTCTTTGGCTCTGTGGTGTGATTATTAGATTCATCCATGTTGTTGCATGTAGTTATAGTTAATTCTCATTGATTAGTAATTTATTGTTTGCATATTTTAGGGCTATTATAAGTAAAGTAGCTGTGAAGATTCTTGTACATTTAATCCACGTGTATATACATTTCTATGCAGCATAGCTAACAGAATTGTTGGCTCACAGGATGTGCCTATATTTAACTTTAATTGTTCATTTGCAAGTTGTGGGTGTACCAGTTTACACACCCACAAGCAGTGTGTGAGAATTCCTGTTCTACATCCTCATGAACTCGTAGTATTGTCAATCTTTTTAAGTTTTTTGATGGATTAATTTTAGTTATTCTGTTGAGAATATATATCTCATTATAGTTTTGATTTGCATATTTTTGATTGCATTTGGATAAGCTCTTTTATGAAGTGCTCCTTAAGGTCTGTTCTCCATTTTTCTGATGCATTGTCTTTTGTTATTGAGATATAGAAGTTCTTTGTATATATTCTGAATGCTTGCTTGGCTATTTTGTTGCAAACATTTTTTCCCCACTCTATGCCTTATATTATTCATTCTCATGAACACAATTTCTCAACTTTAATGTAGAGAAATTCAGTCTTTTCCTTTTTATTTTATTTGCTTAAGAAATAAACATGATCACATGTACCTGTGTCATGAGGATATTTTCCTTTATTACTTTCTAAAACTTGTTTTCTCTCACACTTAGATCTATAGTCAACTTAAAATTAATTTTTTTA